TGAACACTAAGAGATTTTTCTGCTTCAGCTCCTTCTCAAAGTAAAGTCACCTATGGTGACTCACCAGAATATTGTTGAGTTGCATTTTGGATATCTCCAGTGAAGAAAATATGTTTAAACTGAAATTTTCTGTGCTTTAGTTTCTGCCTGTTTCTTCTTGTCCTGTCACTGGGCATGACTGAGGAGAGCCTGGTTCCATCTTCTTTACTCCCTGCCCCACTTCCAAATGGGTAATTTTGCAACTTGGTAAAATTCCTCTTGAGCCTTGCCTTCTCCAGGTTGCATAGTCCTACTTCTCTTAGCCTCTCCTTATATGACAGGTGCTCCAATCCCTAATCATCTTTATGGCTCATTGCTGGACTCATCCAGAGGTGTCCATGCCCCTGTCACACTGGGACCTAGCACTCCATGTGTGGTCTCACCAGAGTTCAGGTACATCATCTCTCTCTGTGCTGGTGATGTTAAGGCAGCCCAGAATGCTGTTGGGCTGCTTTGGCACAAGGACACGTTGCTGGCTCACACCCAGCTTCTTGTCCCCCAAGTCTTTTATCTGCAAAGCTGCTATGTAGTCAGTAGGCCCACAGCCAACTGGTTAATTAATCCCAAACCAACTGGTGTTTGGGATTAATCTCCACTTGAGTAAATACCGGAGATTTTTGAAGAAGGCTTATAGCATCATAGACCACCAGTGGATGTATTGTGTTTTTTTGAGTCTTGTTTTTGAATGGTTATTTTTGAGAGAAGTTATTTTTGTTTTGGAATATCCCTTTTTCTGAAGAGACCTAAGATTCAAATGGGTGTTATTGCTTGTCAAATCTACTTTCATTTTTATGACAAGGTAACCCACGTAGCTAAACAAAGGAAGCCACTGGATGTAATCTTTCTGCATTTCAGTGAAGCTTTTGATACTGTCTCTCACAGGATCCTTCTGGACAAAATGTCCGGCACACATCTGGATAAACACATCATGCAGTGGGTGAACAACTGGCTCATGGGCTAGGCAGAAAGGTCTGTAGGGAGTAGAGGGGCATCAGACTGTTGGCCTGCCACTAGGGGGGTTCCACAGTGGTCCGTCTTAGGCGCTGTGCTCTTCAACATCTTCCTAAATGACTTGGACACAGGACTAGAAGCGATACGAAGTATATTTGCAGATAGTACAAAAGTTGGAGGAGCTGTTGACTCCCTTGAAGGCAGGGAGGCCCCGCAGAGAGACCTCAACAAATAAGGGGACTGGGCAATCACCAACCATATGAAAAGGCAGGTGGTGGATTATTCACCTGGAATGGAGCAGCCCTGGGTTTACATACAGACTGGGGAGCAAGATGCTGGAAAGCAGCACCACAGAAAGGGACCTGGGGGTCCTGGTCAACAGCAAGTTGAATATGAGTCAGCAATGCCCTGGCAGCCAGGAGGGCCAACCATGGGGGGCATCAGGCAAAGCATCGCCAGCTGGTTGAGGGAGGAGATTGTCCCGCTCTGCTCTGCACTGGGACAACCTCACCTTAAATATTGTGTGCAGTTTGGGACATTCCAATATAAGAAAGATACTAAGCCATTAGAGAGTGTCCAAAGGAGGGCAATAAAGATGGTGAAGGGCCTTGAGAGGAAGCTGTATGAGGAGCGGCTGAGGGCACTTGGTCTGTTCAACCTGGAGAAGAGGAGACAGAGGAGAGAGGTCATTGCAGCCTTCAGCTTCCTTGTGAGGAGAAGAGGAGGGGCAGGTACTGATCTCTTCTCTGTGGTGACAAGTGACAGGACCTGAGAGAATGGCCTGAAGTTGTATCGGAAGTGGTTTAGGTTGGATATTAGAAAGAGGTTCTTCACCGAGAGGGTGATTGGGCACTGGAACAGGCTCCCCAGGAAGTGGTCACAGCACCAAGGCTGACAGAGTAAAAAAAGCATTTGTATTATGCTCTCAGGCACATGGTATGACTCCTGGGGCTGGTTCTGTGCAGGGTTAAGAGTTGGATTCGATGATCCTTGTGGGTCCCTTCCAACTCAGCATATTCTGTGATGCTGTGCATCAGCAGTGCCATAGCATGTGTTCAGAACGTGTGCTCGCTCTCCATATTGGACATATGGGAAGAAGTTCTGGCAGACCTTGGTGGATCAGCATTAAGCTAAAATTCATTATTTCATTTTTTCCAGCTGTGACATGGCAGTTTTTGTAACTCAGCTGATGCATAAATGCTTGTGACCTGCTAGTCACACTACTGTATGTGAGCTTGTTTAATTTCTAAGAAAAGAAATGGAAATAGCAAATGGAATGCCCATTAAATATGTGTTGATTAAATCCAAAGCAGATGTTATATTTATGTTGAAGGTTTGCTTTTGAAAAATAGTTCCCTTCTCATAGCGGTAAAAGTCTTGTACAGTTTAGCTCAAAAAAAGATACTGGGAAACATAAAATGATCTATTGATTTAATTCTTCTGCAACCGGACTTGTCTATCTCGCATTGGCCTTTTTAGCCATCAGTGCGCTTGTAGCAAGCGCAGGTAGAGCCCCTCTCAAATCTTTGTTTGCGAAGCCTAGCCTTGATGATGATTTAATTATTTATTTTACAACGCTACTCCTGAGTTACCTCACTTTTTACTTCAGCCAAGGTTTATAGTTTTCATAAAACATTTACTGGAACATTGGCTTTACAATGGTACCTTATATCCCCAGGAAACTTTTTCAGTCATTTCATATTTTATACAGTATATAATCTTTTTCTTCAGAAGACTGAGATAGCAAATTCTTTCATTAATGGACTACCTTTACTTAAACAATTTTTTCTTAAATTTACATTACTAGAGCAAGAAACATGCCTCAGTTTCTCTTAGTAAGGACCTTAGTTACTCCTGGAACAGCAACGGAAACATCCTTTTCTCTGCATATTTAAAGGAATAGAGCAGTCATGTTTTATCAGACTTTCCTCTCAAGGAAATATATGCACTGAAAAGATGACTATTTCACAGCCATGTGGGTATCTCCACACTGTGATCTGGTAGTCAGCAGTCAGTCTTTTTAGCAGTGTGTACCTGCAGAAAACTTTTCCATCACCAGCCCTTTCCTGTTGTGTTCTCAGGCTAGGAAGTGATTCTGGCATTCTGTTGTCCTTCTCTTGGATCATGCTTCCTGAGGCTCACAGAGTTAAGTAACTTATTGTCACACACAGAAACACATGTAGCACAGTGTTTCTGTTAATGGATAGCTTTTTTTCCCTTGTCCATCTTTATTCTGTTGGTAGACTGCTGACAAATTGGCAGCAAAATCTAACAGGATTTGAGGGAACATTAGCTTGTATTTGATTCTTCCTTCAGAGTTACTATGTTTATGCTATGAATTTTTATTCCATTCACATTGACACTCTGAGCAATGTTCTGTTCATAGAAGTGAAAATTACGATTCCTGTCTTTTTTGTCTTAAATCTTTCTACTTGCAGGATGCCAGTACTGTTCCTTCCTTTCTGGTTACTGATGTTATTACCATATTTGCTCTATTTTCCAGAATCTTTTCTTATCAAACTTTTTTGCTACACTTGTAATATTGCACCTTTCTGCAATATTACAGCACCTTTCTGCATGGCCAGGACACCACCTAACTGAGCAGAGGACTTCGCTAACTCATGTAGGCTTTATTGTGCAAGGTCTGTGGTAGGTCTTGAACAAAATTATAAGCTTCTATTTAAAAAAGTAGAAGTAAAAATTTAAAGCTGTTATCAACTAAGTAACAGCTTAAAGCTTCTACTGGCATATGTAGAAAATATCATGATGTTTTTTTAGGGTGAACACACCTGCCCATGGGGAACGAACCAAGATGACAAAATGCACAGCTGGTGGCTGAACTTTGAGGAAATGGGAAACTTTATTGGAACATCCTTTGCTTAGGACTCAAATATCATACTTACCAGTGTAATTTGCAAACTAATAAAACCTGAATCATAAGGAGAGTTTGACTTCAGCTGCACTGCTGTTCCAGTCTTATTTTTGTGTTTCCAATTGGTTCAGAACCTTAGAAAGTCTTCACGTGACTCCTCTGGAAAACCTGGAAGTCTGATAAAACCCAGAGGATTGAAAAATGGGGAAAGGAAAGGGAAGGAAGAAGGGGGAGTAGGGGAAGATAAGAACTGTTTCCATATGATGTGCATGTGAAAATTACTGTAGTTTCGGTTTTATCTATACTATATTAAAATTGCAGCATGTATATCTACCAAGAGTAACTATTTTCAGACCTTTGACATGTAATTAATATAAATACAGGAGTTCCTGCACAGTTCCATAATGAATGTGGATTTTTAAACAGATTCAGACAACACATGGTATCCCACAGACTCGTTAGTGTTGATCTGATGCCACCTTTAGGGCTGAAAGATTGTACCTCTGTAACTGCATCTCACTATTCTGTTACAATTTGTCATATGGTCCAAAACCATAGTATGCATTTGACCAAGTTTTCTTCATTGTTCAAGACAAATAGCTAGTTCTTATTGGTTTTGGTCACCTCTTCTGTTTTGTTCTGTTTTTTAGGATAGTCAACGTATGAAGCTAGTGTATGCTTTCCCAAAGTTGAGTGATTTCAGTATAGCTGTTAACTTTCAACTTCCTTTTTGTGTTTATATTCTGTGGTTACTTAGGTGTCTTTAGATTCTTACAGTATCTTACAGTACAAAAAAGAACTTTTAAATTGTGACTGTATCAAGTCATGTTGGGTTCAGAATATATTTCATTTTGACAGTGAGGGGAATTGGACTCAGTTTAAGATTTCTAGTTTTAAGTCATTAAGCTTTGCCTCAGGTTTCCTGTATTGATTTGTAAATTCACTTGAGGCCAGTTGTATTGTATTACTTAGCACGTGGTCAAAGCAAATGGCTAGTTCGTGAAAACAGTTCAGTGTATCTTATGGGGAAATAATTAGAAAAATAATTATTACTAATCATATGCCATAGCACTTTTTTAGTACAATGTCAGGATATAAATAGAAATATCTGATATTTTTAAATATAGTGGCACTGTAATGTTGTTTTAACTGCAGGTACCGAGAGGCTATTCTCAAGTGGGATGAAGCACTTCAGTTAACCCCAGAGGATGCTACACTTTATGAGATGAAATCACAGGTAAAGCATGACAATTCTTTATCAGTTGAGAAATTAAGAAAGAAAATAATGTGTTTGTTTGCAGATATTGGGCACCATTGTTTAGTAGTTGTGTGCAAGAACTACAGCTGAGAAACCAGCTGTGTGACTTTGATTCATCTTGTAAAATATCTTTCCCTGTCTAATGAAACCACTGGAGAGTAACAAAAGCAGAAAGAATGAAGGTACCCAGGCCTCAGCATCTACCATGCCTTTGCTTGGTTTCCTGAAGAGGAGAGCAGGACTAGGCAGTTCACTCTTTCTTTTTGGTTTCGCTTTCTTATATATGTAACACTTTTGTTACACTGTGAATGAGAACAGGAGAAAAGCTTATGTACAGAATATACATTTATAAAACTCTTCAGTGAATCTTTTTAACCAAATGTCCAAACATCTAATGTTTCAATTGACAACCTCTCTTTTGTACATGCAAATAATTATTACAGATGTTTTTTGCAGTATGACTTATGCTTACTGGAAGCTGTTTAGTATAGTGTGTAATTTGATACCCTTCTGCTTCTAAAGGCACTAAAGTGAGCTGTAAAAATCCATTTTTTGCCAAAATATGTAATTCATTCAAAAAATATTGTGGTTAATATTTAACTAATACTGTCTTAGAGCTGACTGTGTTATTCCAATGCACCATACTAGTGCAGATACTGCAGCTGTTGGTCTGTAGCTCAATGAAAATGTTTTGGAAGAACTGTAAAGCTTCAGCATGGGCTTGATTAGCTCTTGGTTTATAAAAATCTGCCTGTGTTGGTATGTGGGTCACATACTAGGGGAGGAGATTGATGTAAGAATGACTTTGTGCAGTATGCAAAGATTCTTTATGGTCTATACTAATTTTCTTTCAGTGAGGAAAAGTCTATTTGTGAAGTAATTTCTTTTGAGAATTTAACATTGGAGGATGGAGTGTTTGTCACTAGTTTGAATATCTGTCATATTCTATTATATTTATTAAGATAATCCTATGTTGGGTTATGTAGCAGCTTCCCAGTGTTGTTTAAACTGTGTTGTTTAATATCCAGTTCAGATAAATACACTAACAACACAGTAGGAATCTGTAAATGTTTATGGTAAGTTCTTAAAGCTCTGTATTTTAACAGATGTAGGACAAATGTCTTTTAGGATTTCTGAAGAGCGGAAATAGCGTTTAAAGTTCTTAGTTGTCAAAGACACTTGCAATAACTGTGTTTCCAGAAAATCACATGGGAGTTGCGGAATTGCTCAACTGCTTCAAAAACCCATAGAATTTGATGAGATTTTTTTTTCCATTTCTCTCAGCTGGTCTTTGACCCATTTAAAAAAAAAGATTTTTATGATGTGTGGAGAGGTTAGACAGATCTTTGCATGCAAGATCTGTCAGTATATGTAATTGATATTCCATTACTAGCCTGAGCCTGCTCCTGCATTGCAAGGAGTGGCAAGTAAATGTTTATACAAGTTCATTTTTACATTTTTGTTGAAAAACAAAAATCTTTAAAAAAGACCCAACAACAACAGCCTAGTGTTGATCGTAATGTTAGATAAGTAGTATTGTAAGTATAAAGACTGCCTGTATTAGTGTGTGAAACTAATTGTGGGCTGAATTTCTTCGACATTGACTGAATTGCTTTGTTACCGCTTTGAATTACAAAGATGGAGGAACAGACTTCAACAAATTCTTTGAATCTGCATTTGAACATTTGGGGACTGGACCATGTGGGACTCTTTACTGTGTGAAGAGATGTGTCAAAGGACTTGATACATTATGATGTTTATAATAAACTCTCTTGGGAATGAGACATTCTGATATTCTGTACCACTCCTGAGAATTAACCTGGTTAGTGTTGCTTATCTAGTGATACTTCCACCTCAGATCTCTGAATACACTATGCAACTAGGACAGAATTTTTAAAGTACACAATACAATTGTTTATAACTGTTTATAGAAACAAACAAATTCAAATGTAAACACTGAGGTTTAGTTCCATTTAATAAGCTTTTTAGATGTTTTGTCATCAGTGATACGAGGATCTGGTTTTGTGCAGTGCTGCATTCTGAAGTTGCATTCATGGAACAGGACCAGGATTTCAGATTATGTCTCCTCTTTGTTTTTATAGATGAAACCCATCACACTTATATTCAAATCATTCCATTTCCCCTTTTCTAGAGGTTTTTTTAATCTTGAACTGAGTGAACCCGCTTCCCACTTGAGAAATTATAAGATTTCTAAGACAAGACCAGATTTACAGTCCCAAGTTTAGGTTATAAAACATCAGCTAATAATTGCTAATTAATTTTAATTTTTTTTTTCCTTAAAATGGGATGTGTAGTGAGACGAGTTTACCATCAGAACATTGATGGAAACTCCAGAAATCGCAATTGCAAAAAAGCATTTCTGTGTGGTGTAATGGTAATCACTTAACAGCATGGATAAATCTAAGCTGCTTATGGGTAGGATGAATTTTATTCCTCTGTATTTTGAAATGAGTTTCTGAATGGAAAAAGAAATTAGGTCAGTTTCACTGGAATTGGAATGTATCTATATATAGTGATTCAGGCTCAATCCAGTGAGGTCATTTAAAACCAGAATTTACTCAGATTCATAACACTTCCAAAATATTGTGGGTAGAACAGGATGGGTCACTCTGTTGCCTGGATCATTAATATTTGGTCAGTCTCCTGATGATAGTTGCTACATATAACTGGCTTTTTGCCACTGAGTTCTTCTAATTCTTCTAATCTCTCATGTATGGCTTTTTTAAAGCTATATTTGTTAAACTAAGTCACTGTATGACATGGATGTTGTTTGTTTTAATGCATGTGACAATGGTAAATGTTGGAATAAAGTCCTGAAAATCAACTTACTGAACACCTTCATAAGACATTTCCCTCTAGTCAGTTTTATATATACACTTATATATATGTACAGTTATAGTCTTGAGATGAGTGTCGGAAAACAGTGTGCATTAATAAATTTATTCTTTTGCAATGACTGACAAGAATGGCTGAGTCATTCTGTTAATAACTGGAAAAACTGCCTATGCTGGACAAAATGCATATGCATTCAAATATGTATTTCTTTGAATGGACTTCTAGAAACTGATGCCAAAGTTACTAGGAGCACAGTAATTACTACCATGACCTGGAAGAGCATTTTTAAAGCAGCTGTCTACGTTAGTACACACAACAGTCATAAAGAGATGAAAGCGGAATAATTGCCTTTTATTAGTGAGGTCATAGTTCAGTAAACAAAACATTAAAATTCATTAAAAACTACAAAAGAGTGCCTAAATGTTTACGTAGATGTTTTGGAATTTTGGACTTTGCAGTAGAAAGCACTGGTAGGAAGTACTGAATACTTGGGATGCATAAAAATATTCTGATGAGTGTGTACTCTCTGTTTTCTCTTATGAGAATAAACACATTAAGACACTAATGTAAAAAGTAGCCGATAGGTGTAGAATTACTAAATACTGGTAGGATGTACTCTTGTCCATTAGTAAGAGTTTGATTCAACTCACAGATCTGCTGCAGAAAAGCAAAACTGCACTCAAACCTGTAATTGCACGGAAAGATTTGGAAAAATGCATAACATTCATTACAGGCTTTGATACAAAGCACAGTCATTGAGAAGTGTTGAGGGGAAAAAGGGGAAAATTACATATGACTGTGGGGTTTTTTCCAAAGATTTTTTAGGTACTTCTAAATTTTAAGGTACAGTCCATTAAATGGAATCAAAGAGAAGCCATAGGATTAGTCCTCAGAAAAATTTAGTCATAACAGCAGAAGTATGTAGGGTTTATCAGAAGCTATTCCTGTGATGTGCCTTGGTTTCTTCAGTACAAGGTTACTTGTCTGTAAGTCTTTCCTTCCTCTGTTCCCCCCAAGCACTTTTTTTTTTTTTTTAATGTACTCACCCCTGTGCTGTGCAAGTACTTTGCGTTAATTACAGTAAATACTGAAGATCATCACGCTTGAATCCTCCTCTGCACTCATATTTATCTATTTAATATACCTAACAGTAAGATTAAATAAATTAATAGATTAAGTAAAGATTAAATAAATAATAGATTAAATAAAGAGATAATAAATAATTAGATTAAAGATTAAATAAATGCTTTTTGCACTTCAGCAGTAGTCCTAATATGTCCTAAAATTATTCATCATACTTGTGGGTCAGATGGGATGAAAGTGGTTGCTCACACATGAGTCTTACTCTTGTGGTTGACATTCTCCTCATACTGCAGGAATGCAGTTGTCATTTGTTTCTTGCAGTGGTGTCTACCACCATAGCATGTGGGTGTCTGAAATCATGACCTCAGAGTGTGATGCAGGTTTTCAGGTAATGTGCCAAGCTCATGGTGGTCTTGGAAACATATGGGAAGCTTTGAGCTGTGTTAAGTGTTGCTAACTATGATTTATAGGCTTAGTTGTAGAGATTGAGTGCAAGAAGAAAAATAGAATGGTAACTGCTGAGTAACAGATTTTGACTTTCAGGAACCACTTTTTTTCTTCTTTAAGTAGACTTCATGTTGAAGTTAGGCTTTGCTGTTGCAGAATGCTTACTTTCTAAATACAGCAGTCATTGTTAAGGTCTGTTTCCATGCTGAATTATAGGGGATTGTTTCTGTAATTATATCATGTGCACTGTAACCGTCTTTGGTAGGTTCCAGTCTTCTATTAAAAAGAAAAAAATACAACCCAGGAGTTTTTCAGTAATAGTTGCACATTTTTTGTGTTTAATTCTTCGTGTGTTTGTCCTTCGGTGTATTCTGTTATCCTTTTACAGAATGTAGGGCTTGTAGACAAGGGGAGACACCATCAGAAGCAGTTAATCTACTTCTAATGGAGTTGCTTAAATATTTCAGGTGAATCATCCTCCAGCATGCCTGTTTGTCTGCATGGGGATTGAAGTGAGTCTGAGTGACTGTCTGAGATCAGACAACTAACTTTCAAACTAAAAAAAGATAGATAAGGTGAACTGGTTGAAACAGTAGTTGAAACAGTGGTTGTTGCCTGGGCAATCCCAGGAAATACAAACTTGTTTTAAATTTTGGCTTCTTCTTCTTCCTCTTATCTTTCTATTTCTGTTATAGGTCCTGATGTCTTTACATGAAATGTTCCCAGCAGTGCATGCAGCAGAAATGGCTGTCCAGAGAAACCCACGTTCCTGGGATGCCTGGCAGACTTTGGGACGTGCCCAGCTTGGATTAGGAGAGATAGCACTGGTAGGAAAACAAAATTAATTGTGTATGAGAAGGAAAGAACAGAAATATCATGTATATCCTGATGGTAACCTGAATGTAGACGAGAAAAAAGATTGTTGTTACTTATCTCTGATAATTCCCTCTACTTTATTGCTTTTCACAAATGCTTCCTGTGTGGTTTTGTTGCTGATCTTGTGAAAGACCTGCCTAGCTTGAAAACTTTTGTGTCATATACGGTATTTACTTGGTGGCTTTACACAGTAGAATAATTGTGTTGACATAAATGCGTATTCTAGGTTCTGTACTGCTACAGGTCACCATAGTTCAAACATTAGGTAATGTGAAGTCCCAGTTGATACTCAGGCTCACTTCTGTACATGCCTGCTGATGAAGTTCTAGTATCTTGTTTTCCTTGTCTCCTGCTCTCCTGCCTCACATGCAGCAAATCACGTGTGCCCATTCCTGCTTTCCTCTGGCTCCTTGACCTCAGATGGTGGTTGCTTTTCACTTAGTAGCACAGCAAAAAGCCAGGGGTGATGAAGTGCATCTTTTTTCTAGGTGCAGCTGTATGCCATGGTGGTATCTTGGGTACGTGATGTAATGCAAAGGGAGACTTTCTCCCTGTGTCATTATTACCTTCTGTCCGTAAGTGCTGTAACACAGAGTATAACAGATTTCTGCTAGATAGTGTGGATACACCGCAAGTGACCTTTTAAATTCAGACACATTCACAAAAGTCCATTAGAAGAATAACTCATCATGAGCTCTCAGATAAGAAAAGATACTGATTATATTTCAAAACCAAAAAACTAATCTTTAAAATATAGTAATGAGCAATATTAACACAAACAAACCAAAACAAACTCAAACAATGGGGATAACCTAGAATTATAGAATCATGGAATGCTTTGGGTTGGAGGGAACCTTAAAGGTCATCTAGTTCCAACCCTCCTGCTGTTGGCAGGGACATCACTCTCTAGACCAGGTTGTTCAGTGCCCTCTCTACCCTGACCTTGGACATTGCCAGGGATGGGGCGTCCACAATTCCTCTGGATAAGCTGTTCCAGTGCCTTATCACCCTCACAGTAAAGAATTTCTTCCTAAAATCTAATTTTCCCCTCTTACAGTGTGTACCCAGTACTCCTTGTCCCGTCACTACAGTTCCTGACAAAGAGCCCCTCTCTGGCTTCCTGCAGGGCCCTTCAGATACTGGGAGGTTGCTATGAGGTCTCCCTGCAATTTTCCCTTCTCTAGGCTGAACAGCAAGCCTGTTCCTAAGGCTGAACCTAAGACAAAAGCTGTGCGTTGCAGATGTGCAGGGTGCTCCCTTTGTTGTTGCAATGTCATAATATGAAATATATATTCTGATTTTTTTGCTGTATTACATTTTTTACAAAGAAAAATTAATAAAGCATAAGTGTCAGGGCTTTTTAGTGGGTTATTTTTGAGATTTGGGAATTAGTGCTCTTCTCAAAAGCAGCTTTCTTCTGTTTCTTTGTTTCATTTTTCCCCCACCAGTGTCTGTCTTCATTACCCACATCTGGCCAAATGGTCTGTTGTAAATATTTTTATTACTTCACAATGGATGATGCATTTTTTCTTGGGGAAAAAAACAGTTTACTGTATTTTAATTTGAAGTTTCCCAGGTCTAAAATAGAGCTCTCAAACAAATCTTAATTATGAACTGTGTAATATATTCATTTTTTGCAAATAATGAATTGTTTTTATTTAGTTTTCATCAAACTTGTGATAGAAAGAATGAGGTAAATTAGTCCCCTTTTATTTTACTTTTTTAAAAGTTGTTGGCTCTTTTTTTTTTTCAAATTTACTAAATAGGTTAATTCAACAGTACTACTTAAATGTGAGCTAGGAGAACTTTATTTCTGTAAAGGCAGAAATTCCTTAAATTCTACAAATCATTGTGCAGAGCACAACTGAGTAAACTTGTAATGTGAATGTAGAAACTGTAAAAATTTAGTCAGGCTATCAGTATTTAATTTAATTGTAAATATTTGGGTTTACAGCTTATATTTACTGTATTGGTGCTGACATCTTAATTAGTAACAATTTCACATTAATAGCTTCATTAGAACAGCTCTTCCTGTGAAACAGAGTAAGCCCCATACTTTGGTTAAACAGGAAGAAAAGAACAGCCCAAACAAAAGCAGCATTAAAAAATCCCAAACAAGAGAGGACCAAATGAAAGTGTCAAGTGTTCCATGGTGGAGAAATTCATCAGCCATCTGGAGGTGGTCATGGGCAACAAGTTTCAGGTGGCCCTGCTGGAGCAGGGAATTGTCCTTGGTGGCCTTGGAAGGTCCTGGACAACCTCAGCCATTCTGTGATTCTGTGATTGACCCTGTTCTGGGTCCCTGTCAGATCTGGAGTACTGAGGATTACAAAATGAACTGGGTAGATGTTTATATGTGCAGCAGTTTTTGCGTGCTTTTTGTTTGATGTTTTGAAGGATGTGGTTTGTTGGATGCTTACTAAATAGTTAGTGGCTTAGCAGCCTTTATGTGTGACACAACATTCTGTCCAAGGAATCAAGCCTTGACAATATGAATAGTCAGATCAGCCCTTTCCTTTTATTTTTCTTGAAAGAGATAGTTTTAGGTATCTTAGATAATGGTGGGAGTTATGTGCTCCCAAAGAAAGAAATGTTTTATTGGAATCCAGCTAATTAACTAATTATGAATTTGAGCTAATTTTTCTAAATGTTACCAATGTTAGCTAAAACAGATGCACAGTATAAGACAAACTGGGATGTTGCAAAAAGTTTGTTTTACAATTGTTTTGAAATTCCTGTAATAATTTTAGCAATAGAATTCGGTAAGAGAGGTAAATGTTTTCTAGTCTCCTGGAGTGTCCTGATTTGCAAGGTAAAAGTACTCATATCCCAGAGCTGGATGCAGTGCTCCAGGTGGGGTCTCACTAGAGTAGAGCAGAGGTGCCAAAGCACCTTCTCGACTTGCTGCCCACTCTGCTTTGGATGCAGCCTGGATGCACTGTTGGCTTTCCAGGCTGTGAGTGCACGTGGCCAGCTCATGTCCAGGTTTTCATGCACCATTACCCCCAAGTACTGTGTTGAACGCTGTTAAAACAAACAAACAAATGAACAAAAAGAATCCATATTAAAGATCATTAAACACAAAAGAAGATTGTAGATTTGTGCATATCTTCACTGGTGGATATCCTTTTAAAATAGGTCAGAAAGTGTCTGTCAGGTGTAACATATAGGCCTAATATGTGCTTTGGTGGCAGATGCAAATGCATAACCTCTTAAAATGCTCCCTTATATTTTTTTAGGGGTCTCTGTGTAGTGACAGTTGCTAAGTCCATGTGTTATAAAAACTTGTGAAAACTGTAGTCCGATCAAAACTGCTCTTCACATTGAAAGACTGTGCAAACCAGCAGAAGAGACTGCTCATGGGACAAATGAAAGATTGTTTGCTACAGAATACTGTCTAGTGAGATAAAATGTAAAATACTTTAAAAATATAAATTTTTCAAATATTGTAATTCTGCAAGCAAAAATGTCTTGCAGTACATTTTACATTGCACCTTCCTGCAGAAGCAAAACCAGATACATGACTATGCACTGATTTAAAGTCCTGTAGTCCTTACATGTGGGGTCTCCAAAACCACAGCTGCCCTTTAAAATGAGACTAGAAATACCAGTTTAATCTACTGTCACCATGTTTTCCTATAATAAAACACGCATTTGGCAAAGGAGATTTACATCTCCATTAGGGGGAGATTTAGAAGTAGCAACTCTTCTTTTCTTCTGTCTTAATAGAAATTAGTGGCACTTGTAGTGGCAGCGTAAAATTTTATATGGATAGCAAGTCTGTATTTTTCAGTACTACATTGCTGCTTTCAAGTCAATCCCTCTGATCTTTTGCAGCACTTAAAAATTTATTATTTTACTATTTCTTTGTAAAAATGTCACACACAAAACCTTTTTTAATTGATTTACTAAGATGATCTTTCATGCTGTTATGAAATCATCAAAGCAGCTTTTTTTCAAAGCTTACCTTAAATTTTATTATTGTTTTTAATGTTGTTTATTATGCATGAATGTAACTATATAGACAAGTTTTAATTAGGGGACCTCTTTCATGGAAAGCTTAAAAGCAGATGGTGTTTGTTTACATTTTGTTTTCAACAGAAATACAAAAAAGAGCATTTAGTGTTTACTTGGAGTTCATCTATCCCTGAAAATTAAAAGCTAGCAGAGCTGAATAAAATGACACTGGTTTACAAGAATTAAACTGCACTCCTCCTTCTGTTTAAAGTTCAGCATGCTCCTACACTTCAGAGCTGGCTGTTGACCAATAATCAAACTGGGTTTTTTTTTGCCCGGAACTGAAACGGCTGCCTATTACAACAGCAGTAATGGTGGTAGCATAATCATAATTTCTTAAATCTGATTTGTATCCCTTGTTTTCTGAGTTCACGTCATACAGAGTTCATGTATTGCTCTGTGCCATCAGAAGTATGAACTATCAGTTTCTGTCAGTGCAGATGAAAGCTTGTGATTTTACAAATTAATTTTCATGCTTCAAGTATTTACAACTTACAGTAGAATATGGAAATCTGATGGTTGTTCTTATGTCTTGAAAGTCTTAATATGCAAATTGCTAGAACTCTTCCCAAATATAATCCAAATCCATATAATAATCTGTATAATCACTGTTTTCCCAGCCTGTAGGAAGGTTTCGCTACATTGTCACACAAGAGTTTGGTCACTACCATGACCATTTTCAGAACTGGCTGTACAGTCATAAATGTGAAATACACACATGTCTCTGTGCACATGCACCTAAATTTGAGTAAGTAAGGTAAATCTTGACCTTTTCACTATTAAAATAACTAAAGTACAATACATCTGTAATTCTTGGTCTAGCTTCTCTCCAGCATTGTAGCAACCTCTTCATACTGTCAAATAGCACATCTCTTGGATTTAGATTGTCAGGGGTTTTTTTTATGTTTTAACAACTTCTGCGCTGAAGATTTCTGAGTCTTTTCCCAGTTGAGCTGCATGAAAGGAGAAGCAGTATCAACTGCATTTACGTGTACTAATATTACATGGTTTATGAGATTATAGGAGTTCTTTGTGAGAGGAACTCTTCAAGTTGGGAGTTATTTGCCTACTTTTGCCCATTTATTTAGATGTTTTCGCAAGCACAAAGCTGTTAAGGAAACTGCTTGCCATGGGGCTAATATTTTAGTATTAGGTCTGTATGTGAAGGGACTGTATGCTAATTTAAAACCATCAGTATTAGTGATACTTTAAATTCCAGTCATTCCTTTTCTGTATTTCTTTAAACCAGATCTGCTTTTGCCTTTCCATACATCTGATGACAGGAGAAAAGAGGAATAGAAAACCATCAAACCATGAAGTTATTTTTGCTTTTACATTTTTAATTACAATATTGTTTTTCATATACATGAACTCTTTATTTGTGCCCTTGTTGCCAGGTATCTGTTTTGTTCGTGCATTTTCATACTTTCAGACATGGTTGTTTGGGAGTGATGTTGCTATGGAACGTAAGCTGAGGGAGGGTTGCTCCATCTGTAAAGACAGTTTTGAGTAAAATGGATTTTGTCTTTGAGTGAATGATGTATGCAATTTTTTCATTGTTGTCAATTTTTATGATGAAATAGGTAGACTTGAGAGTGTCCAATCCTTGTTTCTTCCCTCTTCTGTTTATAGGCAATCCGAAGTTTCCAGGTATCCTTACACATCTTTCCGATGAACCCCGAAGTATGGAAAGAGGACCTTTCCTGGGCAAGAAAGCTACATGAACAGCAGAAGGCAACAAACACTGAGTCAGTTCAAGCACTGCTAAAAGCAAAGGAGCTTGCACAAGAACCAATCCCCGACTATGACTTTGAAAGTGATGAAATTGTGGCAGTATGTGCTGCCATCGCAGAGAAGGAGAAAGCTCTTTCAGCAGCTAAAACAGTAGTGATTGTGTCTGCTTCAGGTACAGTAGAGACTGTTATTGAGAAGGACAATTGTCCCACAACTCCTGATGAAACCCTTTTCATCAGAGCTCGATAGGGCAGCCTCATGGATTGCCATCCTGTATTAAGAAGTAGTGTTATTTATTGTATTTGTCTTGCTTTGTGTTTGGTTTTTGGGTTTTTTTTAGTTGTATTGGAACCTACAAAATTTAAAGAACTGAAGTTAGTTTTCTTTTGTAAATTAAAAAATCAATGACCCAAGTTTTTGCTCCACCCATATTTTTGGAGAAGAAAACTGAGTTGATTCTGAAAATTCTATGAAAAAATGTAACCTTAAATGCTTAACTATATTCTAACAGCTGCTTTCATCTTGATGTATTTCATAATTTTACAAGTGCATGTCTACATTTTTCCAGTAATTTGGAAGCTTTTATTTAAACTGGAAAAGTGTGGTGGTTTTTCCCCAGCTGGCAGCTCAGCCCCATGCAGCCATCCCCTTCCTCCCTCCTGGTGGGATGGGAGAGAGAATCAGAAGAGTAAAAGGGAGAAAGCTGGTGCGCTGACACACATTTTAATAGGGAAAACCAAAGCTGCACATAAAAGCAGAGCAAAACAAGGGATTCATCCACTACTTCTGAAGGACAGGCAAGTGCTCAGCCATCCCCAGGAAAGCAGGGCTCCACCATGCGTGACAAACGTTGGGAAGAAAACACCATCATTCTGCATGTCCTCCCTTCCCCTACCACCTTCTTCCTCCAGTTCTGTTTGTTGAGCATGATGACATTTGGGATGGAATATCTCTGTGGTCAGTTGGGCTCAGCTGTTCTGGCTGTGTCCCTCCCAACTTCTTGTGCACCCCCAGCCTCCTTCCTGGTCAAGTGGGTTGAGCAGGAAAAGATGTCGACACTGTGTGAGCACTGATAATGAAAAAGCCCCTTTGTTATCAACACTGTTTACAGCACAAATCCAAAACACAGCTCCATACTAGCCACTGTGAAAAAAATTAAATCCATCTCAGCCAAAACATGCAAAAAAAAAGGAATTTTTACTTCAATCATTATTAATTAACTTTATTTATCTTCCAGTGTGAACTGTTTTCTGTTATGAGCAGTCTTTATTTTCATTAAGATTACTTTTTCTGTGAGATATTTTCCTATGAAGCAGAGGTGGATTATTGTTTTCCATGTGTGTGACAGGTCTGGTTTCTGATTTGTAGTCTGATGAGATCAAGTAGCAACCTTTGTGTTGCTTTCATAGGTGAATGGGTTAAACACTGATTGGATGAAAGGAAATGCTGTAGCAGACAAGCCCCTGAATGCTGAGTTACTACTAAGTGTTTCACCAGAAGAAAGAACATTCAGTTTGAGACTGAAACTGGCCTTTCTTTATCTTGAGTGCTGTGCTGCAGACATCACCGAAAGTAAAATGGTGGGAGCAGGAAGTAGGTATGGCTGAGGTGTATTGTTTTCAGCCTTTTCTTTTCTAGTGAGGCTAATCAGATAAAGAGAGTAAATTTGTTTTTCCTAATTCCTATGACCTGCCACTAAAAGTATGTTCTTAGTGAACTAGTTTTTCAGGACAGCATTGTTTTTTATCCCTTTTGGATTTTGGATGCTGTGGTGGGTATTCACAAGGTGTTAACGTAGAGGCATACTGCAGGAGATTTCTTTGATGTTCATCCTTCTTTAGGGGAAGGTGGCAATTGGTCCCTCACACAGGCAGTGCAGAGAAAGTAAGTCAGGCTCTTGCTTTGATGTGCTCTGTGCTGAGATTACTCTCATTTCATTGTCTTGGAGACGCTGGTTGCCTCCTAAGTGTACTGAAAAAAATGGTCAACTGAGGAATTCCTGAATATTCAGGATTGAGAACATGTCATTTTTACTTGATTTTGATAACACTTTGTGTGATAACAGCTGAAAAATAGTTTTGTAGATGAGTGAAACCTTTTGAAATCAGTCCTAGAATCATCTAATCATAGAATCAGATGGGTTGGAAAGGACCTCTGAGATCATCAAGTCCAACCCTTGACATCTTTGCATTTTTCAAGTCTGGTTTCTAATTTCAAAATAACATATTTTAAAAGAAAATAATGTTGCTCAAGGAGCATAGTAGTGTTTGCAATAGAAAATGTATTGCAGAAAAATTATCTCAAATCATACTTAAGTATATCTGGTATCAGAGTATCTTTATTTAAGAGGACACAGTCTTTGAAACAATTAATTATCCCTTTCAAAAACTTAATTGCCATATATTGTACTTAGTTTTTGTTAATTTTTGCAAGATTCTTCCTGAATAATATGGGGTTTTTTGTATGCATGAATTTTTAGATCTATGCTTGCACAAGCACACACACAGAAAAGTCACACTTCTTAATATCTTCTGAGTATTCACAATAATTACAATGACTAAAATATGTTAATAAATATAAAACATCCTACATTTTTATTTGTTCATTCAACAGAAATAGATCTTAAATGCTTATTGAAGAGGCATTTGATTAAGATATGGTTTACTGGTTTAAATTGTTACAGGTGAAGGATTTTTTAATCTTATTTCTCCTATCAGTATAAATGATACAATCTAGTCAGTCATAGCAGAAGTTAGCATGAGAAGGATTTGGTCAGACTTCTTCAAAGACAAGATGTTCTCTGGCTAGAAATGGAAATCTAGAAATTTGGCTAGAAACAGTGAGATGCTCTAGGGCATGTTTTCATTTTGAAGGAGCGTAGCTATATCCACCACATCTTTTCTTTCTCTGCGCTTTAAACTTGCGTAAACTTACTCATAAAAGAAGGAGTTTCCCTCCTTTCCGAGGCCGACGTTATCACAGAATCTGTTTCCACTGAAATGATCCACAGAGTTCCTATTGACTTCAGCACTGCAGGGCCAAACTAATGGAGAGCTGTGCACCTACACCATCAGGCAGAATGGCTGCACCGGGTTCCAGGGGTGGTTCCATTCCCTGCACCAAAGTGTGTTTTCCTTCTGATTAGATTAGGTTATGAATACTAGGTATTGTCAGAACTGTAGTGTTTTGTGGAGCACTGTAGAGCAGATAAGTTCTCGTGGCACTGTTATTCTCAAACTGGGAGGAAGTTCAAAAACTGATGATTTCGACATTGTTTTTTGTACAGTATGCTATGTTTTGCATGTATGGAACCTTTCTGGATCTGTTTGACTAAAATACTGACTTCTCTGCTACTTAGTGATGTCTGTTTATTCTTTTGGTTAAAACAAAAATAAGTACTATTGCCCATTTTGGAATGTTCCTCATTTAATAATTGGCTTCTGTCTCTGGGAAACATGTTAATGTGTTATAGCAAAAAAAAAATTAAAGACATATCACTCGATGCTTTTAAGCCTACCAGGGGAACAAAAGGAGATGTTATCTGAAATAGGGTATCTGTGACACTCCCCCTTTGACATCAAGAATTTATTTTTATTGTTCTTCATCCTGTGTAGTGGCAATGACTGCAGTAGCTTCCACATGTTTGCCTTCCATGTGAATCATACATTAAAATGCTCAAATGTTGCCGTGTTGTTAAAGAGGAAAGCACAAGAACAACAGGAGGTTAGGTGGATTCATTTTGCTTGATTTAAAAATCTACAGTTAAACCTTAAAATAGATTTTTTTCCCCTTTGAGTCCCTTTATATCTTGTGGAAAGAGATACACAGCCTCATAGGGCTATTCATATGCCTTGTGTAAGATAAGTATCTTAGAATTAGTTGAATCAGCCTCCCGAGGTGCCTGATTATTTCCCTTGACTACAAAGGAAGCTCAAAGTGACCGACTGGCAGTGAACTTGAAATGCTGAAACTGGGCATGTGAATTCCACTCTTATAGATGGAGGTAAGTATTTTTAAAAAACATAACCACATACTATACTGAGAGAGAATAAATCCTTTCTGACAATTACTAGAGGGTAAATAAAGAAGTGTGGATCAGGTAACACAGCAGTGCCTCTGATAATACCATAAGACACTGGGTTTTAAAAGTAGTTACAGAGTAGGAAAAAAGCAAATGTAGTGGTTTCCTCTTCTAATTTCTGAAAGTTGTCTGAAGTTGTCTGAATATCTCTTGGTGTTGGGGATCAATATCATAGAGGTAACATTGGAAACTTGCCTAGCTGTACAAGGTCCTCTCAATCATAAAAATAAGGGGAAGGAGGTAAAAAAACTAATGTTGAGGGCAGGTGCTATCTTAACTTATTTTGAGGTCATACAGTAGCTATAAAACTATAAAGACCACAGTTAGGACTGGGACACAGGAAAGCAGAAGCATGTAGGGCTTGGTTTGTTAGCAGGTTGCAGGCACCATGTGTTTATTGTAACTCAGTATCATGTGAACATTGTGTTCTCAGATGGGCTGGAGGCCTTGGGCTGTGGTATCTCCAGGGAGGGCTAGTTCAAAACCAGGAGGAGCTGCTGGGCACGGAGGACTGCTGGATCCTGTTGGCCTGGTTTTGAGGGCTGATTTTTTTAAGAGCCACAAGGCTAGGAGCTCTAGGGGTTATAGAGAATAAATTATCAATGAGAAAGATTAGGCCTGGGGATTGAGTTGACTTTGGGTTCACAAAGCAGGAAATTTAGACTTCATTTGGTTTCCAGATTAAGTAGATCCAGATCTAGACCAAGGCCTGGGAATGGAAGGGTCTGGTGGTAATTAGTAGCTCTAATGGTAAATCTGCCTTAAGTAGAACAGATTTGTTGTTTTGTCAAGGAGCAGAACTAAAAACTTCCAGAATCTTCTTTGGTTAGGATGCTGGCTGCTACCATTTGGAGATGGCAGATGACTTTGATCCTCTCCTGTTACTGCATTGGCACTGTGCCTGTAGCGCCAGTTTGGGTCAGGCAGTGCTGGTCTTGCAGACAGCAGGAATGTGTGTGCTTGATTTGAAACAGGATCCTGGAGCCCACCCTTAAGAGTCCAAGTCCTATGTATATCCTACAGCCTAAACCAGGCTAAGTTACTGATCAAAGATTCAAATGAATCTGCAGATTGTCACAGAAACCACTGTCTCAATCCGCAGTACAGATACTGGCACCCATCCTACCTGTGGTGGGTGGGTCCTCCAAGCCGTGCCACAGGACAGGGCCTTATATTGAATTAGGGCTGGGGCTTGGGGTGGGGTAGCAGGGTCAAGAGGTCTAGCAATGCCTCTGAATAGAAAAGGTTTGGTGAAGTGGCTGGG